GGCTACGTAGACCGCAGCGCCTGACTTCATTGACCTCTTCCAGGTCGGTCGGTCTCGAACGAGATCTTTCCACTTGGCTGGAATGATTACCAGACGCTTCAGGGAGGATTTCAGATTATCCATGTATCGCCGGATTTGGTCTCCTTGGCGGCGGAAACCAGTGGCGACGTCTTCATAGAAGAGTCCTTTGGGTACCCGCTCGCCACCCATTCTCACGAGATGACCGCTCCGCTGCAGTCGCAGTTGTTTTAGCATGGCGTTAATTCATTAATATAATATCTTCTCGTGTGAATCTGAATGAAGTTTAGATCCGTCCAGCCGTCCTCGAGCAAATCCTTAAGGCCTCTCTAAGAAGAAACCATTTCTATTTGACCGTCAGTTCTGAGAACGTCCGAGATATCTCTTTTGCTGACATTCTTCCAAATTATGCTTGTTATATCACCGCAATATATTAAATTGCGTCGTATTTTTTGTAATTAGGAATATACTAGGTCGTTGCGGGAATGTTTTCTCCTGCAGCGGCCTTTCTCTTTTACCATTCATACTCACCAATAGACCATAAATGCCTGTAAACATCCGATGATAAGAATTGGCCGACGGCTGGCAAGACTGATCATTCCGTCTACGTGTTCACAACTGTAATTGTCCGCAATTTTCTGACCAAACTAAACCGAATCAAATGCTTCCTAATAAAAAAACTAGGTAGATGTCTTTACAAGCAACTTTCCGCCGCCAAACCAGAGGTGACAAATTAGTGGATTGCTTGTCGCGTGAATGATATATGGTTTGTTGAGTAGAGAGGTCATGTAGATGCACTAGGTGAGTTTGATTCTTGCATAGTCTGAAAAACTGTGTTAGCAGGTATGGTAAGGCCTTTTAATGTTGTCTGTTCTTCTTTAATTTTTCATAGTATTTTTGCGTGTTTTTGACCTATACATTTACTATGATATTGGTGATCTGCGTGGGAACTGGTGGATTTGGGAGTTCGTCATGACGATGGATCCGACTGACTCTGATACTCTGGGGCTATGGCTGGTGGACAGACGAAATCTTGTCTATTGTTCCGTGGTTCCTTCGGAAATTATATCGCCTTCCATGGAGACGTTTTCGGTTGAGGTGGAGATCCAGTGCAGGACAATGTTTTTGCCGTGCGGTATTGAGAAGGGTGATAGCGTTGTTACTGGTTTATAATTGATAGTTC